CTGGTGTGTTTGTATCAGATCAGTAAGAACAGGTAGATGTGAAAGGCTCGGTGAGTCATCTGAACTCCAGGATTTCACATCGTGAACTGAGCATGGTAGCACACTCAGTAGGGACTGCATAAGGATTATAAAAGCTTGCACATGTACTAGTCTTAGGAGCAGGGATAAATAGGGCTGGTGAAGGGGCTGCTCTTATCCAAGGAACTTGAGAATCTTCCAAGTGGCCCTCTGAACACAGGGAAAGGGGGATTTTTAAAGAGGAGGCACTGAATCACCAGATGTACTTTGAGAGGCTACCAAACTAGCTTAACCTGGGTGGCTTCCTCTTCCTTTTTCTGATGCATGAAACTTTGTCTACTTAGCACGTGTGAAACAATTTTAAAACTTCTTTGAACTGTTGTACATTAGTAGTCCCCTAGAGGCCTCCTTACATGTTATTTGGAAACTGGCAAAGTTTAATCAGATTCTAGAAAGGTGAGCTTAAAAAAAATCTTTTTTTTTTGTTTTTTGTTTTGAACATTGAATTTCAGAGTGGCTTTGATAGAAGATGTCAACCGTATGTCACCCAATGCCTTGGCCATTGTTTTTGCTCCGTGCCTTTTGCGTTGTCCTGATACCTCTGACCCTTTAACCAGCATGAAGGATGTCTCAAAAACAACCATGTAAGTCTTAGTAGTCTGCTGCAATGTAGTACTTTTTTGAAATATGATGGAAAGCCAGTACTACTGCCTGCATTTGTTACAACCTTATTCATATCAAGCTGAGAAACTGAGGGTTAAGAGTTGCTCAGTTCTGGCTCTGCCAGTTTACATGCCCTTCTCTGAGTCCTTCCACCTGTTTCAAGTTTATAAAGCATGAAGTAGGATGACTTAAATCTTAAATATCACATTTCTATTTTACATCAAGATAATATTTTGGTGGGATTGTACACTAATAGATATTTTGCTGAAATACAGGCCAAACTAAATAGTAAGATATGGAATTAAACTGTCTCCTGCATACTTGGGAACCCCTGATAATTTCTTCGGCATTGTTCCTTGAATTAAAGAAGATTCTGTCCTTGATCCTCTGTTCTCCTGACCCTCCAGCAGCTCTGACTCTCTGAACATCCCTCACCATCCTTGCTCTATGGCTGGCCTTGCATCTGCCTCCAATGAAAACAGAGTTTGAAAAATGACAGCTTTTTGTAACTTTTTACTGACCCATGGGGCTGTAGAGGTGAAAAGGGTGATTGCAGGCTCATTATTATCTACCAGCCTGTGCCAGCACAGAGAAGACAGGTAGAAGAATCCCTGAGTAGTATGGTTAATGTCTGTTTGCTCACTGTTGTGTACATTCAGCGTGAGAGGCTCTGGTGAGGCTAGGAAGATAATGTGCCGCTCACAGCCCGTCCTGTTTGGCTCACTGTTTTGGACTCTTCGCCCCATTACCGTGCAGCACTACCCCTTCTGGGGGTGCACTGGGACATCGTGGCTACATGCCAGCCACGTGTGCATGTGGCAAACATCCCCAAGCCAGGGTCTCAGCCCACCACAGTGGTCCCCAGAGCTTTGATAGTACGAGGCTGCTCAATAAACTCTTGCTCTTTTGTCCAGGTGTGTAGAGATGCTCATAAAAGAACAAATAAGGAAGTACAAGATAAAAATGGATGAAATAAATCAGCTGGAAGCTGCTGAGAGCATTGCTTTTCGACGACTCTCCTTGCTTCAGCAGAATACAGTAAGTGTTGAGATAAACCACAGAGCCACACCATCCAGCACAAAGCATCCACCAATTTCTTGGGATGTGCTACTTATTTATCCCATCCAGTAAGTCAAAGATCAATTGCAAGATAAGAAGAAAAGGGATTTGGGCTTGTCCAAAGCTGTAGATAGGAACTAAATATACAGCTGCACCAGAGTCTGATTGACAAATGAAAGGTGCAGGGGTGGGAATCTGCTCTTGTAGTGGACAAAATCTATTCCCATATAACTCAACCAGTGGAACTAAGATTGCTCTTACCTGGCAAAGCAGTTCCTTCACTCCAGACTTGGATGTTGGACAAAAATAAACTGCGTTCTATAAGGGCGGATACACTTTTGTTTTTATTGTACTGATTAAAACAAAGCAAACTCTGTCGGATCAGAAGCTGCATATAGTGAATTTGGTCTTCATTTCTCTCTAGCTCTGGCCTGTAAAACTTGGGTTTTCTTCCCCTTATGAGGGGATGCTGGTATGTACGCTGCCCGTGTCAAAGAATGCATGTTGGTTTTTTTTTTTCTTTATGGTACTATTGCATGACTAAAACACTTACTAAATGTATTGTACTTGGTTTTAAATACTCTTTTGAACAATCAAGACTGCATGTATTGGTGCAACTTTCTCCCCAAACTGCATGCAGGGCTGCTGACCTGTTCTGTCATGACTCTGGTGTTTTACACACATTCTGAATGTAGCTTGTATTGGATATAGTAATACTTATAAATGACTAAAACTAAGGCTGGCAAATCAAATTACTATGCTTCAAAAAAGGTAACAAAACTCCAGAAATCGGGTGAATAGAAACATTTATATTTTTGAAACATTTGTGTGGATAACTAACAGCTCCTCATCAGTTCCATCAGCTTTTCATTTGCCCTACTCATTTGTCTTACACCTCACAACTAGTAGACGGTCAAGACTTGTATAGCTGCTTATGACTGAGAAGTGTTACACACAAATTTATCTTGCAGAGTAAAAGCTCACAGGTGAAAGGAAATGACAGTGGCAACTCAGAACTGGACTCACTGCATGAAGAAGAGGAAGTTTCTGAAGCCGATAACCGAGAAAAGGAGATTCTCATTGATCGCATACAGTCAATAAAAGAAGAAAAGTAAGTCACCCTTTATCTCTGTAGGTCATGCCCTCAGCTGTTGTTGGAGGTGATACAGATAGTAGAGCAGTACACCTGTTGTCCACAATGATCTAGTAGATTTTGTTCTGTAGGCCTTTATGAAGGTGAAAAGGAAAATACAAAGGACTAGCTGAGAGAAAATACCATGGGAATTAATATGTAATGACTACATGCAGGAAGGATTTTATCTGAATATGAGCTGCATAAAGTTGCTCATATCGGAGACATTGTCCTTCTAGAGTGCTACAATCTCTGTTTTGATATAGGGAAGATATAACTTACCGGTTACCTGAGCTTGATCAGCGAGGCTCTGATGAGGAAAATGTAGACTCTGAGACCTCAGCAAGCACAGAGAGCCTGCTTGAAGAGAGAACAGGACGGATGGATACCGAAGGTCAGTATTAAGGTAGTGTGTATTTTTTTTTTATTCTACAACTTCCACTGCATACAGCCAGGTGACCAGATGTTATCTCGTCACAGTTGCTTGTATCAAGTTACATTTTTATGCATGCTTTCAGTATCTAAGTGTCTTGTTTCTTTAAAGCAATTATTGGATTACACTGCCGTGCTCAGAGCTCCAGTATGCCTGCCAAAGACATTTGCAAAGTGCCTTCTCTTTTGCAAACCTCCTCACGTTCTTCCTCTGCATCCCTGGCTTCAAGACACAGATCATCTTTAACGCTGCCCAAGACTAAAATGCCCCGTCGAACTCCAGTGATGCCAACAGCAAATATAAAACTTCCTCCCGGGATTTTCAAATGTACAGAATCCCAGGACAGGATTTCAGCTAACGAAGAGTCTCAAATAAAGGTGAGACGAAGGGAGCAGCCAGCAAGGCGAACTGATAAAATTCACTCTGTATACATTGCACAAGGGTCTGCAACGGCCCACGCTCAGGAACTCTTGGATGAACACGAACCAACAGCAAAAGTAAAACGGAGGTTTTCAGACCCTTACTCTCACATTCCCTGTATAGAGAAATGAAATACTTAAGCTGTCTGGACTTTTTTTTGAAGTTGACTGCAGCTTTGGCTTTAACCCTTTAATGTCTGTGAACTTGTTCATGTCCTTTTAAGTGGCTGCTGGGAAGGCAGCCTGTAAATGAACAGTACTGTAAGGGTTAAGCAAGGTTGCTTAAAACAAATATTCTTCACTTTAAATTAAAACCCTGCAAAGAAAGTAGAACACAAAACTTACGTTGAGTAAAAGACATGGGTTGAGTGTACAGGATTAAAAAACGTCCCGCGATTCTGCTGCCATGCCTTTTTCCATTTGCCTTAGAATGGACTCTGATGGGACCAACAGTGAGTCTGGGTCAATGTGTGTTGCCTTAAGGTTTTTTTTATGTTTTTATGACAACTTTGTGTGGTTTACAGAACTGTTAATGTTGTAATAGCCTTAACTGAGACCAAAATATAAAAACGTTTATTAATACATTGCACTTTTTAAAAATACATGCGTTTATCAATGTCTGTCTTGTCTAATGAACCGTTTATTCTGAAGAAAGCCTTTAATCGGAATCGCCTGTCTTTGGCAGTACTTCATACAGCCCGGGGAAAGCTCTCTGTGCAGAGGAGGTGTGAACAGCAAGCGCTGGGCTGTCACCTCGGAGCATTTTTGGTGCTCTTGGGGCAAATGTTCAGTGCAACACGGAGCCATAGGGCTGGATGCTTGTGCTGTGTAGAGCTGCCTCATCCTCCCCAGGCTTCACATCTGTGCAATAAAACCCCTGAGGGTGAGGTGCGATCATACCTTAAACATTTTGAGCAGAGTTGGTCTGAGGCCCCTGGGTCTGTCGGGGAGTGAGGGAAGGGCACAGCTCAGGCATTCTCAGTCCGCAGCCTCCGGGGCTCTGGCGATACTGCCACAGTTCGCCCCCACCAGCATCCATCTCTGTGGACACGCGGGGGGGGGGTTGGTTTGGTTTTGGGGCGTTGTTTTCACATCAACCGGCGCGCAGGGCGCGGCGCTGCAAAGGCCGCCCGGCGCCTCCCGCCCCAAAACCAAACCAACCCCCCCCCCC